CCCGTTGGCGCCACGGCCGCCGTTGCATCCGAGCAGCGGCGATCCCTCAGGGCAGGCGCTGTAAATCGAGTGCTTGTCGTTGTTTCCTGTCCCGGCTCGGTTTTCTCATGAAAAACTCACGTTCAGTCAGTAGCCGCGACATCTGTTTCATGACGCTTACACGGATCTTCGTGTTCTTCGCTCAAAAAAGCACGTGGCGGCTGTCGGCGACCGGTCCCCCGTAAGCGAACCCGTCACATTACTTCGAATGAAAGAAACTTCGGTTACACGCGCCCTTTTCATTTCAATACCACCCGGGAACGAAGACAAATCATCATTCATCCCGACGACTATTTATTTCGACCCACAGTGGCGGGGGAATCCATTTCCAACGGTAGCTTTTCGTCCCTAGAGACTTCTTCGGCTTTCCTGTTGGAACACTGCTAGAGGTTTTGTTTCCTAACCGTTTCATCAAAGGCTAAGGACTCTTTAGAAAACAAAAATTCTTCAGACGTTCTTAAAAGGATAGAGTATTTCAACAAGGAAGTCAATATGATTATTGCTCGTTTGGCGTTTTTCCAAACGTTGATTTCCGGTTTCCGACTTTCGATGAAGTCTCGGCACAAAAATTCTAACAAGGATCTCAAAGTGTTTCTGACGCTGTTAAATTTTATTCGTTCCTTGGCACTTCCCACTGCTCTCTGAGAAACAACGTCCACAATAATTATTGGGATCTTCATGAAATTTCACCTCAGAATTCCTTCCTGTGATGATAGTTACGTCAAACATCAGTAGTACTTTTGGTACCACAATGATTTGTTATTTTTGACGTCATATTTTCTCATGCGGCTAGCCAATATAACAAGGCTTTACATAGGCAGTCTAGTGGATACCTTGCATCCTATTTTCATTGTCATTTGGAGAACTTTTTCGCCTGCCTTCTTTATTACTAGTGATGTGACATTGCGCTTGTTTGCGTGCATTAACAAATAAATAAATAAATAAATATAATAAACAAATAAATAAATAAATAAACAAAATGAACGTGAGTTCTGTAGTATTTGCAGACCAATTTGCTTTTTTCATTCAGGACTTCGTTCTATTACCATTTCGCTCATACTCGTTTTCCGTCACGATTTCCGATTTCCGATTTTTGGAATTACGGAATTATTGTCGTTCGCCTCAATTACTGTTTTTTCATCATTGAAAGGAAAATTAGTCGGCGATTTCCATTTGTTCTCCGTTTTCGTGGTTTTTTAGCAGCACATCCATTTCAGTACCACGACGTGCCCATGTCCGTCACAAATGTGCAGCCTGTCGGGTATGTGTGCTTGAAATTTTGTCCCTGTAACTGTTCAGATTCATTCTTTGCCTACCTTTTTTATTTTTGTTTTTTTATTATCTTTGTTTTGTAATTTTGAAAGTTTTTCTTGATACATTTTCCGACGCTATCGCAATATACGGGGCATCCTCTATGACCAAGCCTAGGAGGAGGCAGGAGCTTTAGGGAAAATGAAAATGGCTCACACATCTTGGAGACTCTCCTCACACCGCCTAAGGCTTAGTCCCGTGTGGAACAAAAAGAAATGTTTTTTTATGCGGTTTGAAAAGCATTGCCATCACAATGCCCCGTATATTGCGATAGCGCCTATTTTCCTTCAAAATCTGTCAGATAAGATTGAAGTTTAAACTGGTCCAAGCAGACTCTCAAAATAATTATTGTGGCTCATTATGCTATTTAGCACCAACTGTTCTATTACACTCGTCCTATAATAATTGTCATAAATAAAGAATGACTAAGCGTGAATGCTGAATTTTATGAACCACTTTGTTCCTTTCTTCTTCCCCTTCGACTTCTCCCCCTTCTTCTCCACCCCCCCACTCTCACCCCCACCCAGAACTTCTAGCTAAGAAATAGCAATGTAATGGAATTTTTAACCGGAGTTTTTAATGATTTTTTATGGCTTTTCGTGACCAGTCACGCATATTTAACGCTGCAATTACTCGGCGACAATCTTCATTAATCTGTCGCTGCTGATGATTCCATCGCCATGGCTGTCCACGTCTTGTAGAGGAGTGCATCGGGAAGCTTTGGCAGCGAAACCGGTGGAAATCCCTAGGTCCCATTGACGTCCTGCCCAATTAAATGGTATATGTGCCGCACTTACCTCTGTATGTATCACCTCAGATGGTGACAAGGTCATTCATTTATTGGTAATTTACCTAGGGGAGGTCGTATTCAAGATTTTGGAAGGGGGTCTTATTTCCAATTTTGGGCAGGGAGATCGTATCTGAAGGCAGCGTTCGCACTGATCGAGTGCGGAGACGAGTTGGACACGACATCCGTGTAGGAGCATGGTCATTGGGGGTGGTTAAAAAAAAAAGGAAAAAGCAAAGTCTCAATAAGGGGGTATTATGGCGATTGAAACTGAGTATAGAGATGCGAAGTGGAACGACAGTGGAGAAAAACTGAGAAAAACCGTCGACAAGGCCGTTAACAAAACCCTCTTTCCCACTAGCAGTGAAGGAGGCTGGCTTGGGGAAGAGGCACGTACAAACAAGTTTTCTGGAGATGTCAGTCGTTCTATCGGTTGATACGGCAATCAACCTAGCTGATTTCACACGTTATGCCAGCCACGCACCACTTCCGGAGGTGGGCGGTCCCGGATTGAAACCGACGGCCCCGGGGGCTTAACGACGTTTTTCAAGGTGGAAAGTTGCTGCAATGTGTGCAGCTACCCACATACAACCTCCAGGCACGGGAATTACTTCTCTAGCGTGTCTGAGCCCGACCTTTGCCTTTAAGCCCGAACTTCCTGTTAAGGCGTCGTAAAGCGGCCCGATCGACGGGGCTTTCACCAACACATCCCCTTCTACGAGGACACGTTTAACTGACTTCTCTTTGCGCCTAGTCACGATTCCGGACAAGAGGAGACGTAGGAGTAAGAGTTACACGGTTTTCAGAGCACTGCACCGATGTGCCCTTGTATCTTGCGATTAGCGACATTCGAGCAGTAATGGCGGGGGGGAGCGGCAAAGCGGGAGTTGAAAAGCTTGTATGATTGTGAAGGGGTGAGGAAAGAAACGGGTTGTTTCAAGGCTTTCCAAAACAATTTTCCCAACAATGCAATTTCTCCACTTTGGTGAGGGAGAGTTGTAGTTGAAATGTGCCGACTGGTCTCCTAGAAAACAGACATGGTAGCCCAGCGGGGAGTTGAAGGGGTGTATTGAGGGTGAACCCCTCCACGGGTGGTGGTATAAAGGGAGAGCGCATGGAGACTTTTTAAAATGGCTAAAGCCTGAAATTTTCAAAATCATCCTAATATCGATGGCTTGACCCCTGGTGATGACGCACCCCCGATATCCAGGGAATTTCGCGCATTTCTCCTACTTTTGAAGCTCACTCGGAAAGGAGATAAGATTCCAGCTGCTGCTAACCTTCAAGGTGATATAGCGGCCGCTTTGTGGATTTTGTAACCCGCAAATTTTGGAATCAGTACTGCGAAAGATTTTTCCAAGCAAACGTCCCAAAAAGTTGCTATAAAAAATACTTCGGCTTATACCACATCGGGATCCCGTTGCAAAAATAACTACGTGCCACGCCGACATACAGGGAGATGGAAGTGGCTTTATATTCTCACTTACCAATATTTTCCGAATGTACAGTAGCGCGGAAAAAGTCTCGCGCGAAACGTTTTTCGCCTGTAATCATTTTTTTTTACTCACCCAAACAGTGCGCCGTGACAAGACCTGTTAGAGGGGCCTTTCGATACCTTTTAGAGCCTTCGAAACCTTAAGTGTTAAAGAATCCAGATATTTGAAAGAAAGGCTTCAAACTGATATCAAGATCTTTCTCTGGAAAATGGAATGCACGAAAAAGCGTTTCGGCGAACACTTTTGACCGCTATTGTATTTTAAAGCCATGTAATTGGGTGAGTTACTTTATTTTCAAGTTAATTGAGATAATTAATGTTTATCAATTATCTACACATTTACAACTAATGACATGAGAATTCATTGTTCCTCCCTTCTCTCACCGATTGCTGGTGAGTACAGAGGATGTGTGTGTATCCGTTCAGCCTCTGTTAAAGGAATCCTTCCCAGAAAATCCCTGATTCTCTTCCAACAAGATTATGTCAGTTCTGATCACTGGAGGCAAGATATGTGCAAAGTGTCGCGCACAAAGATTCATTTTCCAAAGACAACAAAACTTACGAGAATCACACTCCATGGACGGTCGATGGTAGGTCGGGCAGACACAAGAGAAAGATGTGCGCCTTGGGACGGCCACGTATCAGGCGACGCATTGAAAGAATCGGGTTAACGTTTGATTTTGGAGAATAGAGACAAATCGATCGATAGAATAGGATGCAGTAGAAGTGTGAGATGTTAATGCAATAAGTCAAAAGGTCAAAAAGAGTTTCTAGTGACAGCACTCCGTGAACCAAGTGGAAGCGTTCCCGCCGCCAGCATTTGTGACAGATGTCCGGCGGGAATTTGAACGCGTAGCAGTCCTTCCGGTTTTTCGAATTGTTTACCAAAACAAATGCAATTTTTTGTTCTTTGTTCTATACGATGGATCTCAGGGCAATGATTAATGGGTTAGAAAGAATCATGATTTCTCCGGGAAATATTCCTATATGGGCACCTGCCAAACAAAGACTAAGCGGCTTCTTTGGATCTCCGCCTTTAATAATTCATGGAACCAACTGAGCTTGAGAATTACGCTTTTGATCTATGCGTCTTTGATCAGATGCATGACTTGTGTCGCTGTCTTTCGTCAAATATATTATAGATTTTATCAGCAATGTTATTCATTTGTTAGAAAATGTCTTTTTTCATTTTTTTTCCATTCACAACTGATCGTATTATAGATCTTTATATCTTCTGTGTGATTATTGAGTTAAGCATAGTAATTGTAGCGTCGTTGATGAGACATCATGAATAAACTCAAATAAGTTAAATAAATAAATAAATAAATATAATAAGTAAATAATTTTTTGGGGTCCTGACAGATAGACATGAATACCATCAATGAGAGTAGTGGAATTTGGAGACGAGCTGCCTTACCAATCAGCGCAAAATTATTAGATGCGAAGGAATCTCTCTCTAGTCGTTTAGAATCCAGAGGTTTGGCGGGTAATTTTTCTTTACTTATTCCCTTTCCGTGAGTCTATAGATTCCTATCATCTTCTTGTATTTCGCTATAACTGGCTATTACATATTCTTATGCATATTTAAAACACTCAGATTAGCTTATATCCTTTTTTTGAAACCATAATCACAAGAGTAAGCGAAGTACGGGAGGACGGAGAAAGTAAAAATTCATGCGGACCAGATAAGAGGCGCTATCGCAATATACGGGGCTTGTGTGGTGGCAGTGCATTTAAAACGCGTTAAACATTTCTTTCTAGTTCAAACGGCACTGAGATATGGGCAATGGGGGCGGACTCCAGGGTGCATGAGCCATTTTCATTTTCGTCGTAGTTCCTGCCCCTTCTAGGTCAAGTCCCAAAGGATGCCCCTGTGTATTGCGATAGCGTCGAGACAGATCCCTGGAAGACCTGGGAAGGAAGCCACAGATACATTCAGTCAGACTGTCTTCTTCTCTTTTAGACGTCATCTAGTAGCACAGAATATTGTTTCAGCTCTTATTTTTTTCAGCCCCCAATTAGTCACATACATATTTTTGGAACGGTTCTCATCCAGTAAGGGGGGGCATGTGGTGTGACAGTTCTTGCCGGCTACAGAAATTCCAATTTTTGCAAGGGGAGGGAATCCCCGGGGTGCGTGAACCATTTCGCTTAAACTTTTACACCCACCCCGGGCTTTCCCTCCCTGAAAAAAGTGGATTACTTCATGCAATATGAACTGTCGCACCACATGCCCCCCTTTACTGGATGAGACCCTTTTGGAAGAGCTGGATTTGTAGCTGTTTTCCAGATTTCGCGAAGGCCAGTAACGAGTGTAGCAAACAGCTCGGCGTATTTTTACCCAGTCGATACCACATTTACCCAATGAGAACCCCGGTGTCTTATCTTGCTGAAGAAGCGGTGAAATGTGTGCAATTACAGAGGAAGAGAAGGTTTTCCGTGTTGTTCTGCGTGAATTACGGGAACGAGCCGAAAGTGTGGACGTTCGGGACGACGTGGAAAAACTCGAGAAGTTGCTCAACGACCCCTTATTCAAGCAGTACAGTAGAAAGGTAAGAACATAGTTTTTGAAGTCTAGCCTTCTTCATTTTTATCTCATCATCTCTTGCCTTCTATAATACCTACCCTGTGTGTTCCTGTTCTCAACAGCGAATTTCCCCACAGGAACCCACAGGCACCGCTAGCACCCGGATTTCTGCAGGAATTTCCGAGTTCGCTGGGAGAAAATCCTATATCGTAACGCTAAGCGCTGCTCTGGGATGTGCTTATCCTTGTCAATTTCAAGTGCCAAATGATCCGAGCCAAGGGACTTGGTTCCCGCCTGGTATCTCGTAGCCAAGGGACCTGGTATCTCGTACAACTCCTATGAGGTTTCGCAACAAAAAATTCGTACCCTTGCTATTAGTGAATGCTGCGCACACTTACAGCACTATCTTCAAACAAAATTCAGAAAGGTCGAATAGGCTATAATAGGCTCATGGAACCCAGGTGTATATCCCTGGGCCACACCTGTGCCCAATAAATCAGCAATCGTCCAGAGCGTCGGATATCATATTGCCGAAATGCAAGCCAATAGTCTAGCTACGAAGTCCTATCAGGAAATCTAACGTGGGCTGAAATTTGAGGGCAAATTCAAAATTGCAGAGATGTTCTATCTCAGTATTTGACGAAGCTCTGTATTCCTTATTTGTTCGCTGATTCCCTATTCAAGAAATTTCTTATGCGTAATTTATTTAATTATAATGATGAAAGGCCTGACATCAAACAAATAAAGAAACAAGTAAATAGATTATACAAAAGATCATTTTTCTAGGCATGAATAACGAATAGTTAAGGAGTAAGCAGGAAAAAAGAGGATAAAGATCGTACTTTAACTTCAGCTGCCACTACACATGATTTGAAGGCACATTTACCGATTAAACGCAAGCCCTGGGCTGAAACTGGTGCATAAGAGCGCTCATAGACATGATTGAGCTGCTGAGTGAAGTGAAAGTGGCTAAGGAAGCAAGCGACACCATCGAAAACGCTAAAATTAAGGGTGTGTCTACGAAAAACTAAGGTAAGATCGGGTGTGGTACGACGGAGAGACAGATCAACCAGAGAAGGCAAAACGAGGTAAGCAAACCAGCCCTTTTGGCGTTTCGGCTGGGACCGTATGCTGAATGTTGGGGAGGGGATGGGGTCCCCAACGGTCGACGGTTTACTTCAACTCGGTTGGTACGATAGGAGAGTACTGACGCAAGTGGTCCAGCAGCTCCGCCAGAAGGGCTGGTTTGCTCACCCCAGGACTAAGAGGGGACGGACCCGTCCTCTCTTTAAGGCTTAGTTCTGAGGTAGCACCAAATTGTGGCGGTTCTAAGGACCGAGTTGAAGTGGTCCGTCCACCGTCGGGGACTCCATCCCCTCCCCAACATTCAGCATACGGTCCCAGCCGAAGCGCCAAAAGGGCTGGTTTGCTTACGTCGGCAAAACAACCCAAAAAGGCAAGGGTGTCGTGTGAGAGAGCGCGCTGATCTCTACTTTAATAGCGATGGATGGGGAGCGTTGAAAGTGATAGTTTGGAAGCCTTAATAATATACGCCCTAGTCACAGCATTTAGCGCCACGACCCGCTGTGCGAGCGACATCGGCCGAGATCTCCTTAGCGTAAGGGGTCCAGGGAGGTTTCGTTCGCGATGTATAGTATCACAAGACTAAGTGAGCCTAGTTCCGAGATATTGCACTCAATCGAAGAAGCGTTTGCATTTAGCATTTAGATTGCAAATGCGATAATCTATGCAGATCAATCATTTCTATGCTCTGTTATTTCTATGCCCGATTATGCTCGGCAAACTCGTCCAAAGGTCAAAAAATGAAGTCCATATTTTTTGAATATTTTCTTCCTCTCTCTTCGCTGGCAACTCAATTCTAACATCTACTTCCAATTTCGAATGTAGCAGTCATCCCTTGATAATGGTGGAATAAGCCTTTGAGACAGGTACCACTCCGAGGGTCTGGAATGAAGGCAGCTTCACCTTCTGTTTTCTACGGCCAAGATGATCTCTCGACCAAGAACATGGCAAACTTTTATAGACATTTTATTAGAGAGAAATATCGATTTGTAACTAAGGCGTTTGGTTTCCAGCGGATGCTATGGACCCGCCTTCTGAAAATGATATATAAGAAAAGAAAATGCGAAATAGAATAGAAAACTCCAAATTTCTTATTTAGTTGTTCAGGATTTGAAGCTCTAGTATTCCTGAGGACGTCTTCTTTTTCAGATTAGGTAATAAGTGCCTTTTAAAAAAACCTTTCACTCAGGATGTTAATTTGAGGGGAAAAGGCGGGGGAACATTCCAGGGGTTTCCTTGCCACTTCCCCTCAGCAAGAGGATAGCATTACGGATGTGATGCGTGGCTAATTCAGGCGATAACTACAATACCGCTCACAGAATGTGAAAAAATGACGGTGATTGACCGTCGCACCTATCAAAGACCGTCGCACTACCATAACTCCGCTGAAAGCGAATGAAACGGAAAAATTTAAACTCCTATAGATACGTCTCCTCACAACGAGTTCTAGGATGTGTTATGGGTCGGGATCGGCTTAAGTAGGTCACCAGCTTTACCTTTTAAGCTGGGCCAAAATCCAATTCTGACCTCAAGGTAGAACACCATTCGTTAGATCCCATGTTTATGTGCACAGTAGTCTACCGCTCGCACACTCCTCCTTTTTTGATGCATTTTTATCCATGTTTCACAGTCGTTCCCGATGCGAACGAGCTCTTCAATTTTACGACATTTCCAAATTTTGAAAGCGTATTTCATCAAAGTCTGGAGGAAATACGACGAAACGGCTACAAGATCTTGAACTAGGTATGTAACTGCGCAACAACTTTGTTGTTTATTGGAATGCAGCAAAGCGGTTCTTACATAATTTAGCTCTGAATATCGGTATACGTCAAATTCTTCGAGCACAATCACTTTTCTTTTCTTTCCGAAATTGCGCTTAAGCGAAATGTATGACCAACGATTCGAATGGTTATTCCAAGAATATGACATATTGTGCCGTATAATGGCAATAATGGCTTATGAACAAACGTTAAGGTAAACTAGATAAGAGACAATACCTCACCCTTTGAAAAAAATTTACGGACAGAGAATACAGAACTAGTGTTGAAATTCATACAGTTGTACTCGGCGCGATGAATGCTATCCGATGATATATAAGTTATTACCCAAAGACTACTTTGTTTTTACTCGTTTTTTTCCTTCGTGATCGCTAGCCAATGACCAATCGCTAGCTGACCTCGTAATTACCCTACGCTGCGAGGGTCAATGCCTCGCGGTGTTATCACTCCTCTTCGAGGCATGTTCGGCTTCCGAATACCGCTAAGCGTCGTTTTTCTGAAGCCCCTTCAGATTCCCGTAGTTGGAAGGAGTGAGAAGCGATCCACTCTAGCTTAGGCCGTGGAACGCCAGCGAATCCTCCTGTGGCACAGCAATGCAACGTCACTGGAATGGCGCTTTGGGTTTTCAAAATTATGCCGGATTGGGGCACGACTGGGAGCCCATTTCACACCTCACTTATTTGCATTCGTTCTTATAAGGATTGGTGTCGTATTCTTTTTTTTAATTTCCTCTTTTTTGCTAGTACCTTGATTTCATGGGGTTCCCCGTTGGCCAGTCGTTGTATCAGTTCCCTCAATTTATCTCATTTTGTCAACTTGATATGTACACGATAAAATATAAAGAATGAAGAATTTGGGTTTGATCATCTCTTTTTTACTTATCAATCTGTTCCAAATTCTTTTTTTTTGCTGGTCATTGGAAAATGTTACGAAATGTTACGAAGTAAATTAAAAGCTAGTGAGTACAGTAGGTAAACTTGGGAACATCACTTAACCTCGTAGGATGGAGCAGTCGTGTCATAATTTCAAAAACCGAAAGCGCCATTCCAGTGACGTTGCATTGCTGTGCCACAGGAGGATTCGCTGGCGTTCCACGGCCTAAGCTAGAGTGGATCGCTTCTCACTCCTTCCAACTACGGGAATCTGAAGGGGCTTCAGAAAAACGACGCTTAGCGGTATTCGGAAGCCGAACATGCCTCGAAGAGGAGTGATAACACCGCGAGGCATTGACCCTCGCAGCGTAGGGTAATTACGAGGTCAGCTAGCGATTGGTCATTGGCTAGCGATCACGAAGGAAAAAAACGAGTAAAAACAAAGTAGTCTTTGGGTAATAACTTATATATCATCGGATAGCATTCATCGCGCCGAGTACAACTGTATGAATTTCAACACTAGTTCTGTATTCTCTGTCCGTAAATTTTTTTCAAAGGGTGAGGTATTGTCTCTTATCTAGTTTACCTTAACGTTTGTTCATAAGCCATTATTGCCATTATACGGCACAATATGTCATATTCTTGGAATAACCATTCGAATCGTTGGTCATACATTTCGCTTAAGCGCAATTTCGGAAAGAAAAGAAAAGTGATTGTGCTCGAAGAATTTGACGTATACCGATATTCAGAGCTAAATTATGTAAGAACCGCTTTGCTGCATTCCAATAAACAACAAAGTTGTTGCGCAGTTACATACCTAGTTCAAGATCTTGTAGCCGTTTCGTCGTATTTCCTCCAGACTTTGATGAAATACGCTTTCAAAATTTGGAAATGTCGTAAAATTGAAGAGCTCGTTCGCATCGGGAACGACTGTGAAACATGGATAAAAATGCATCAAAAAAGGAGGAGTGTGCGAGCGGTAGACTACTGTGCACATAAACATGGGATCTAACGAATGGTGTTCTACCTTGAGGTCAGAATTGGATTTTGGCCCAGCTTAAAAGGTAAAGCTGGTGACCTACTTAACCGATCCCGACCCATAACACATCCTAGGAACTCGTTGTGAGGAGACGTATCTATAGGAGTTTAAATTTTTCCGTTTCATTCGCTTTCAGCGGAGTTATGGTAGTGCGACGGTCTTTGATAGGTGCGACGGTCAATCACCGTCATTTTTTCACATTCTGTGAGCGGTATTGTAGTGGAGCAGCACGGACTGACACGGTTGGTGGTTTTAGTGTGACTGTCGTCTCCGAGGATTGAGTATCCTGAGTATTCGGCACATTGTCATCTAAACGCAATACAGACTTCTCAGGGTGGTCTAATACAATTCAGATTCGTGGGATGCTAGAGCGAAAAAAAGTACTCCATACACTTCACTCCTTGCCCTCTTAAACGCCATCTCTCTATTGTGTTGAAATCATACCGTAGCGCTCACATTTTTCATTTCTGCATACAAACATTTTAAGAGAATAAAGCAAAAAACAAAGCTAATCAGGGATGTTCGCTTTGCCATTATTTACGACTTTTATTGTAATACGTCGCTGCATTTAGGTTTAAAAAAATATTGGGCCCGGTTCTGTTCGAGCGTATATACTGTCTCAGTTTGTAATACTAGGAATGTGATTTGATGGTTAGTTCGCGGTGAAATATGGTAGGGTTGGTTAGAGAGAGGTTCGATAAGAACAATGGATTCTGAAGAACTTTTGTTTTGACGGTATTTTTTTCTTTATGTGAACTGAAAAATAACAGCTGTCGAAATGCCGATTTCTGCCGTCTGGATTTTCCAACTTCTAAGCATTATGTATGAGTACAAATATAATTTTGAGGGAAATGACGAAGTAATTTTTGTAGAGCGAAAAAAGCACTTTAGAATGGTACACGCGATTTTTCGGATTTTACTTGTCCTAATTGAACGCTCGAAAAAAGCTACGATATTTTGCTCCAACTCAATATGTATTGGCAAGTAGTAGCTTTTCTTCACTTCTAACGTAAACTTAACGAATCAAATCGATTTCCCCTTTCTTGATGAGGGGTTGGGTTCAGTTCCAGGGTATCGACCCTTTTCTCATTATCGTTTTCATTTAACCACCGCTCTTTTTATTCTGCCTATAATTAACTCGTTTTCATTTTCAGTCGTCGGGAGGCGCTCCAAGAGTTGTGAAACGAGAAGGTGAGTTACCAGTGACCCACTTTGTATTTTCTCGATTTCTAATGAGCGTCTTACTTTGTCCTTTTATCGGAGAAAACAGGGGTATCATGTTTTCCAAACAATTCCTACCGAATGTTAATTTTACCACTCCCCCACAATCTCGATTTTGGAGTTTCATAATTTTTGTTTTGATTCCTGAGATTGGATATGCCGTAATTGCGGACTTAGTTTTACACAGTCCCTCGAATCGATGGCTCTTGTGCTTTTCGATGCCGTTAATGCTTCCTAATATTAAATGTGATTGCAAAGCAAACGTGGCAGCAGACTACGAAAAGTACATGTGATATTTATTTGGTAGTCGGATAATGTGCTAACGAGTACGTAATTACGTCAAGCTTGGCCGCAGGAAACGAAGTACGTATATCTTCTATTTCCATAAATTAACTGAAAATGAACTATTCTTTGTTACTTCGTTTCGTTGTTTATTCATGAAGCAGGTGTGAACTGGATATCAAACTAACACCTGTTTGCACTGTCAGGTGCTATCGGTGAATCCGCACTTGTGAAATTCTTACGTGACAACGTCGAGGAAGAACTTCTACGAAATCTCAAGGACAATCAGGTTATTAATTTTATTTGTTTCAACACTTTATTTTCATAGCAAAGAACGAAAAAAGAAAAACGGCGCTCATGTATGTAGTTGGATGGACGATGGGGGGGGGGGGGAGGGAGGGACTTCGACTGAGGGCTCTTGAAGCCATAGCAAGCACTTGATTTTTAACAAATGCTTGCGAGTATTTGCTGGGAAGATTTTGGAAGGAATGGGCTACCTTTTCACCCACCTCGAGCCCTCTCTTCCGCGATCATCATCCCCGTAGCGTCACAATGCTTCTTTCTCACCATCAAGCGCCAAAAATGTCTGAATGAATGCAATTCCAAGAATTGAGTGAATGAAAGCTGCAAGCGGTGAAACGATTAACCCATTCGTGACAATGGTATCCACCGGTGGCTGCCGTGTTTCAAATGGAATTTGGAAAGTTTTCTTTCCTGAAAAGAATCTTCATACCCTCATTCATCTATGCCAGCCTTGGGCACGGGGAATCTCCATCCACTCAAATTTTATTGAAGAAAAATCTCCTGACTCTCCTGCTAATGCGCAAACCGGCGCGGTCGCGAATGGGTTAAATCTTCAAAGGACCCTTTTTATAAAATTGGGATTCGAACGGTTCACGCACGAAACTACTCCACTCTAAAGACCGTTCATACTTGGCGACTAGCGATAGAAATTAGGATAGTAGTAAAGCGAATAGAAGGAGTTTAGTAAATTCGGCGTCTTTAGGCTAATAGATCAATACCTATCTAATCCAGCGCTTTCTCCTTAAATTTACTATTCAGCAAGGATGTGCGTTGCTGGAGCAGAATAGCAACTTCTCCGCCTTTGGTAGCGCGAAACTTTTGCTGCGAAAATTCCCAGGTCCACTCTTGATCAGGTGGTGGAAGCGAGGCTCCCGCATCGAAGCAGTTTCACGCTGCGGAGAGCGGAAAAGTGGCTGTCTGGCCTTACGAACCACAACCCTATCCTAGTACCTCAATACATGTCATTTTCATTATCGTTAACTATTCTAATCGCAGGAGTCGCGAACTATGAACGCGGCCCGAGAGACTAAAAAGAAAATCTCTCATGCGACCTTCGTCACAGTTTTTTGTTTCCAGCTCTTTTCCAATAGGAGTAGGGAAGCCGCTTACCTATAGTTTGACCTCTGAAATCAAATCTACACCCCGGCAAGCAATAGCACTCCCATCTATCAGTACCAATTATCTTACGATTATTTGAAGAATCCGGTGGTCCTAACAAGATTTCTTGTGTTACGGTTAATTCTTTGAATAACTACGAGATTTTGGGAGCTTTTCTTACTTTTGCATTTATCTTATTACATTTATTCATAGATTCATAGATGAATAATTAACCCTAAGATTTTTTGTTTTCTTCTTTCTGTTTCCCCTTATCTAGTCTTTATTTGGTTCGTTTCCCTTGCTGTCTGAACTGTAAACTTTCCTTAATTTTTGTAACACTATTATTTTTCCTTTTTTCATCTTTACACCTTCTCTTTTTCTCACATCTCTTTATCTCTTGTACCTCATCAGCACTTTCAGAGTACATTTTTAACTACTTTGAGTGACCTCCGAATAAAATTGGTTATCCTTGCCAGTTCAGTTATCTTATGAGATTTATTTGGAATCTGATCAAGCTCTACATAGCTTCAGTCCTTGCAATCGAATGCATCGCTTTCGGCTTCAATGCGAGGCCTTTGAAAGGGCATCCAAAAGACGCTGAAATAACATAGCTATCGCTGTTTCCCTCTAAAATATAGTCAAAAATTACTGAGAATTCTTAAAATTTCCTCAAAAAATTCTCTAATTCTCAAATAGTCTGAAACACTCAAACGGAATTGTTTGCAGAAATGTTTGAAGCCAACTAACTCGCTAGGTAACTTGCTCTTGATAATTGTTGTGTAGCAGTTGCCCGAAAAACAAGAGGTCCGGGTTCGAGTCCAGCCTCGGGAGATGAGTTTTGCCCCTAGCTTAGCATCTTTGAGATAAATCTCTAAGCAATATTCGCATGGTTTTTTGTTACCACCCGTACATTTTCTCGCAGAATTCCACGTCCCTCTCACATTTCCCTTGAGAAACCCCACTACCAGCATTCCAGCGTCCTCTTTCTTCCAGTGAGGATTAATCTCTTGCTAAGAAGACATTGCGAAAGCTTTACGGCGACGAGTGTTTCTGACATATGCTTGCAAAGTATTTATTCTACGGCATCTGGGGAGTCGTCAAAAATTCAGGAGAATCTTCTCAGGAACTGGGATCTTATCTCGTTTGAAACATTAGCCTTCCTCTAGGACATTTATTTGATCCATTCGGCTGATCTTGGAAGGTGCCTCTGTGCGCAATGTATCGACACACCTGGACACGTTCTGAACTTCTAGTATCCGAGCCAGTCACTCGACTTCCGGTCTGAATTATGGATACAAGTGAAATCGTATTGTACCTACGCGACGGCGTCAAAGGTACTTGACGGAGGAGTTTACGATGAAAAAGCAGCCCATTAAAAGTCAAGGTG